AATTTATTTTAGTTTCTTTCAGCTAAGTATAATGAATATCGATCAAATGTATTATGAGTTAATGGTATTCCAAATGTGCCAGCAAATAAAAGCTTAAAGTGTAATAATGGTAATTAAAAATTACCTGATAATATAGTAGATATAATTAATGATTCGGAATTCTGGAGAGTTTTATTATTATTACAAAATTTGTTATATCCTTTGTGTGGATTTCTTAATAAGTTACAAAAGGATACTGCAAGATTATATGAAGTTGTTTATTGTTTTGCCTATATGGTAAAATTTTTTCAAATTATTCAGATCAAGAGTTTGCTAAAAAAATTATTAATTGAGTAGAATATTGGTGGAAATATTGGGAACAACCATTGTTATTATTGTCTATTATTCTTCATCCATCATACAAACTTTCTAAATTTAATAATACTGTTATGAATCTTACTTAGACATATATTGGACAATGGTTGAAATACTATTTTCAAGTATTCTTTAATTTACCACCACATTCAATTCTTAATAAAATAATTAAGTATAAGCAAGAAAAAGATCCTTATGATAATACATCATTTCAACAATTTCAGGGAAATTTATTTGATTTTTGGAAATCTACAGCAGGTATTGGTCCTGAACTAGCTAAATTAGCAATACATATTCATAGAATATGTATTAATTCTGCATCAGTTGAAAGGCTTTGATCTTCTATGGGTTTTTTGCACACAACTAAAAGAAATAAATTATCAGTATTTATTTATATTATAATTAGACTATTCATAGTTAGCTCATTAATATTATCTCTAATTTTAGTTCATTATTACTAATAATTTTTATTATTAGTCTGAAAAAGTATTGGCAATGAGCCAAATATGTAGTAATATTTTATTTAATCATAAAAATTTAAAAGCAAATAATTAAACATCAAATTTTTGTATTCTGACATCTATTTTATATACTGATAATTCTGAAGAAAATAACATAGATCCAAATGAGAATACTGGTGATTTTGAGGAAGATGAAAATGTAAGTATTCAAGTTTTAGAAAATAATATTGATGAATTTATAGTTGAAGAAGAAAATCAATAGATGATCATTATTAATCAATAGATTGACGCAACTCAAAGTAAAAATCAAGTAGATGATACAAGAGATCAAATTTTTTTAAATAGTGAATTTGATGAAGATTTTGATTTAGCTAGAAGAAATATTCATCCTGCAGATAATACTTCAGCAAAATAGGATTTAATTACTTTATTT